AGGAAGTGTGTACGGTGGAGTGTGAACGCACAGTAATACCATGCACAGACCACTGATGGGACAACAGAAAAGAACCCAGCTCCATAACTTGCAGGCCTTTTGAGTAAATGTGTCCTACTCCTACACCAAATCTACAAGATGCATTTACAACTCCCAGGTTTTGAGATGTGACAGATCTGGAGGTCACAGCAGTCATTTTATGTAGCCATGAGGCACATCAATATGCCAACCTGCACAGTTTTATAAAGCCAAGGCAAGATCAGGAGCACCTGGAGTACAGACAAAAAAAAAGTGTACCCAACAGGGACAAAACGGCTTCAGCATTAATTTGGAAGGAATCCTCTCTTCCAGGGTTAAAATCTAAGTGCAGCTGTAGCAAAGCCTTCTTCCATCGCTCAGCAGAGTGTATATAAACTGTTTTAAACCACAGCTACAGTAACTCTTGCTTGATTTAGTGTCCTCCAAAAGCAAATTCCTGCAGTTCCTCTCTTACATGTTTTTCTTTATTATACCAGTAGTTTTCAGTTAGGATTATGAAGTGTAAAATAGGATGTATCACTGAATTTCACATATTCAACTACCACTTTTTCTGAAGAGTATCCAAGGTCCATTTGGGGAAAAAAAAAAAGTGAGCCATTACTTTGTAGAAAAACAGGTGATAAATTACCCTGAAGTAGCTGCTGTGCTTAACACCACCAGAAGTGGAAAACCCTCAGCCAAGACATCCGAGCCCCTGCAATTCTTCACACAGCTTCAAAGAGCAACTTCTGTGTTTCAGTTTTGAGGCACACTGATCTCAGCTAAATAATTCAGTAACCACAAGGTTTGAAGCAGTACCTTACCTCCAGTCTTTAAATAAAAGCAGCAAAACGAACACCTCAGCAACAGATTCCCAGACTGTCATCGAAGCAAGCAGTCTTTATTAGCATTTGGCCAATATTCAGCACGCTAACCACCCAGCCAAGCTGCTGCTGGGAGCATGTGGTAGTAACACATGTATATTAAGAGGTGCCCAAAGCTTCATGTTATGCTTTTGTTGTTGTTTTTCTTTTTTTAAAACCTAACATATTTTCAAAACCATCCAGTGCATTTACATTCCCCAGACCAAATGACTGCCTCTGGACAGCTTCCTTTTTCAGAGATGTATTTTCAGCCAGAATAGTTTGAAGAAGAGGAGAGGGAGAAGAAATAAGAAAAGGAAGAAGCAACTGTGGTTTTGCCCCTGTTAACATTTACTGAATCTCACTTCTTCAAGCAGATTTACTTCAGTCATTTGGGGTCTGCATTCAGAGGGTATTAACTTTCTGGCAAATCGTATTCAGACATGCCCTTTGCCACGTCCGAAAATCCTGCAAAATTAAGGCTTCAAAATCTTTTACTGCTAAAATTTCTAATATGGACCATCTCTTACTCTTACAGCCTTACTCTTCCAGACAGACCTCAGACTGAGAATTGTCAAAACCTGAACCTCTGGCTCTCTGAAGAACAGAAGTCGTGTGCCTGCCCTTTCCTGACCAGAGCTACAAGCTGTTGTAAACGCTGCAGGAGCTCCATTCCAGGTATGACACACATCACAGCAACCTCAGCTGTCCTGGCCCCTAAGGCATGAAGGTCCAAAGAACACTTAGTGCATTACCTTAAGCTACTGCAGTAAAATCATAAGCAGTATCTAATGTTTGAGCACATCTGGAGGAAAAAGGTGCTAGAATAAGCAGGAACAAAGTGGAGTTTTTGAAAAATACA